TGAGCTCCACATGCGGAAGCACATTCAGAGTCAACAATATGTCCTCTATAAGGAGACAGACAGTTTCCTGGGCGAGCAAACAGGAGTGGCTCTTCATCATCTACAACTACTGTTTCTCTCATTGACAGCATGTAATTTATGCTTGCTACCATACCCTCTGTCAGAAGTATTGGTACTCTTCGACCGTGCTTTCCTTTTATCTCGACACGTTTTAACTCGGTAACAAGTTTCTTCTCAAAAGTGTCAAGGTGTGATAGAATTTCACTGTCTGCTATGTCGTTCATGAGACCATTCTTGTAGTCTGTTAGTTTTATTTTTTCTGCCTCTCCACTTCGTTTGCGATTAAACAATATAACTTGTAAGGTTGACTTTGGCTAGCTTTACATATGTGGCACTATTTTTTTGTTCTTTTTGATAAGCTGATGCTTTGTCGCTGAGATACTCATTAAGCTTCACTACATCTTCAAACAGTGGTAGCTGTTTTGTTGTGTTGCACTGTCGGTCTTCCAGTGTACTTGCTTGAAATTGTAGTAAACTCTACTGTGTGCAACTCCAAATATTGGGACGCCTTTCTTTCTGCTTCTGTGCTGTCATTTTTAATAGCTAATGCCCTTGCTATGACAGCACATTTTTTTAGAGAAATCCCAAGCTTCATGGCAAGGGATGGCTTCTTATAGCTTCTATATTATATCCAGTGAGCAATCTCACACATTTTTTCATGTCATAAAAATTAGCAGGCGACAGAAAATCCTCCAACTTCGTCATGTCTTGTTTTACTTGAGGTCCAACATTAACTAACCTAGCTATTTAACGCAATTTTTGTTCAATCATGTTCTTTAAATGGCTTTTGTTAATATATTTTTACACCAACCTCTCTCCAAACTTTTTAATGAGAGGATCCCTTTCAACTATTGCAGTGATGTTGTCATCTTTCATAGTGACCAAGATCTTCTCCAGAGAAGAAGACGATGTGGAAAGAAGAAGGCGGCCATGGGCCTGTGCTGCTCCTCTTTTAATATTACCTATCCTAGAATTCGCTACACAATGTTTTTGGTGCTTCCATAGCGCCTTTTTGCTATAACTTGCTAAACAAAATTCACAAGGCAGGCAGTCGTTTGTCTCTAAGCCTGGATTTCTTTTTCCCATCCTATACTTTTGAAGTACCATACCTTTGTTTTCTGTCCTTGCTTTAGATTGTGTTTAAAGTCACCTTTGCCCACCAATATTACCCATGCCCCTCTTCTACGTTTTGACATCTTTGGCATGGCACGAATTTTAGCCACTTCATGTTCTTCAGAGTGAACTTAGTTCCATTGACGATCGGCACCGTTTGCATATAATTTTTCACAGTACCATTAGGCTCAGTGCTGCTTTAGATGTCAGCGGTATTTGGAATGCACCTGTTTGCTGCGCTATTATTGGTATTGTATGCTGACATGTCTGGAATCATTATTACTTCCTCTGCTGACAGTAATCATTTTTATTTCTAGTGTTTGCTGCCATACAACTCTCCTTTGTGTGTTTCTTGCTGCTTACACCATTCATCATCCTTAATTTGAAATACATCACAGTATGCATTGTTTGTGATACGCTGGCAACTATCCATCTCGCAATCTGATACGTTGCAACACATATATTCTCTTCTCCTCTGTATCACTGACAGTATCCTCTCCTCATTCTGTACTGCTACACAATACTCTTCGCTAATCTGTACACTGAGCAGTATGCCTCATCATCATCCTGTACTGCTGACAAATCCTCTTCGCCTAGCTTTACTGCTAACACGATCCTCTTCCTATTTCTTTACTATTGGCCACGCATTCTCTCCTGCAGTCTTTAATATTGCCACGATTGTCTTCTCATCGTTTGACTATTAGGCCACGAATTTCTTTCCCCCTATCTTGTAGCTTATCTGCCACGATCTCTTCCTCATCTTTACTATTGCGACGATCTCTTCGCTCATCTTTAACTATTGACAACGATTCTCTTTCTCATCTTTACTAATTGACATGATTCTCCTTCTATCTTAGCGCATTGACACGAATTCTCTTCCTTCTATCTTTACGCATTGACATGATTCTATCTTCCTCATCTTTACTATTGCGACGATTCTCTTCCTCATCATTTACTATATGGAGATATTCTCTCTCATCTTTACTATTGACTGGAAACTGTACTTTCTGCTATCTATGCAGAAGACTAGTGTCGAGATAAGCCTTTTGAGGCTCAAGAGGAAGGGTTAAACTGATGTTGTTTACTGTTAGAAGAATTTGTACTGACGGGTTTGGCTTTAAGTAGAATCATACATTGCTGATGTATGAGGCCTAGCAATGTCACAGTGAAATTCTAAAAGCTAAATTTGATTGAAGATGGTTATGGCTCTTAAATCGTATAATTTCTACTGGCATTCTGTACTGATTTGTAACGTTGGATTTAACGTTACTTGACTATTGTTGGTTATGCTATGTTATGTTTCCGCAATTCATAGAAAGAGCCAATCAGAAGAATTATATAAATGACTAGTTGGTTTAATTTAGATTCACACTGGCACTGCTTACAAAGGTACAAGTTGGTCGCGTCTGGAGTTCGGGAGAGAGTTCCTCGAAGACAGGCTCGTCTTGCGGCGTTTTATCAGGGCCCCACGCACGGAGTGTCCCGGCGTCCGTAGAAGTTAATCCCTCAAATCAGCTAGCACCCCATTATCGCGACACTCGGCAGCCATCTTAACTGCAGGCAGCCATAACTGCGGCCGCGTGCGGCTGCTATTGATTGCCTCTGGTTGCAGGGGCAATGCTGTTCAATCAATACCTTCGCTTCGCGTCGTGTCGGGGAGGGGGGGAGAGCAACTCTCGCCCCTGTAACGGCATCGTTACACTTCTCCCCCCACTAAAACGATGTTCACTAAAGTGGTCACTAAAGTGGTCACTAAAGTAAACATCGATCTGCCAGCCTCCCGGCTGGCTGTCCACAGGGGGGGGGGATCGACGGCGTGGCATGCTAACTACAATAATACAATAAACTGAATTAATACACAATTCCTAACATATTATAACACAATAACGCATCGATCCCCGACGGTTTATACCCTTGTCCTGAAGGGACCTAATCGTCCAATACACAATCTACAATATACAATATACAATACATAATCGTACAATAGATTGACACAATTGACATTCCTCAGTGTACGCCCTCCTCTTCGTGTCCGTCGTTGGAGGTGGTTGCTGGCGACCTGGCGGCCGCTCGCGACAGAGCGGCCACGATGGCCGTTGCGGCCATCTGGCGTACATGTTCCGGATGGAACGTCGTTCGCGCCGGGTCGTCCTCCTCGCCAACGATGAACTCGTATATCGTGGGGTCGGAGTTCGTGCCCGACCCGACGAAATGGCCGGCGTAATAGCGGTCGGGGGGTGGGGGTGCGGGGCTCCATGGATCGTCGTCGGTGGAGTCTCCGGTGTCGCGTGCCCGCGGCGGGGCGAGTAGCCTATGCTGCCATCGCCACTCGGCACAGGTATCGCCGGAACAGGCCGCGGCGACGCTGGCACATGAAGCGCAGGTGCAGGCAGGTGGCAGGTGCCCGGATGCAAGCAGGCGGCGCTGGTGTAAACGCAGGCGGCGCAGGTCCCTGCTGGTAGCTGCTGCTGCTGCCGCTTCCGCTGCTGTCGGCTGGCTTCTGGCGCAGGTATCCTGTATGCTAATGCCAGCGCAGGCGACGCAGGTGTAAGGCGGCGGCGTTGGCAGATGCCGTGCGTCGTCTTGACCGCTGTTTGCGTGATCCTGACAATGTCAAGTGGTGGGCGTAATACGTGGAACGGTGTCGTAGCCGGGGCAGTATGCGATAATGACTGCCCGGTAATTGCCATAGCGGCGTGAAACGAATTGTAGAATGCGGTCGCGTATAAGCCGCGGAATAAACAGAGGTACAACCAGGCCGCTTTAAACGGCGTCTGTCGAATATATGCGTTTAAATGAAGCGCGTGTCACTTATAGTGCGCTTTACGAACATGCTAATACGATTATTGCTACTAATTAACAAGACTAGTGCTAACGGTGCATACGCACATCGTCGGGGCCGTAAAGCTATTCTTAGTCCTATTCTTAGGCATCAACTCCTGGTCTCGGATCCGGAAACACTGCAGGATCCCTGAGAAGACAGGCTGTGGTAGATAGCTTGGGGTGTCATATTTAATCATCGAGCATTTATCAGACAACCCCTGGTATGTCACATATGAAGAGTTGCATGATATTTAATTATTAGTTAGATAAGTTGCATAGAGTTAAATGATGTTCCACATTTTCAGTGTTAACAGGGAGGGTTTTTATAATCACATTTATTTACTCGAGTTAAATACATCTAGAAATGCAGATAACATTTTCTCATCATGCATCTCTCTGGCCGCCTTCAGTCTTGCCTCCTCGGCCGCTCTGGTATCTTCTTTCAACTCGATTAATAGTGACCGAAGACCATCAGACTTCGACTCATATTTGCGCGAATTATTAATTTAATTTCCAATTTATTAAAAACAAATTCATAAGTTTTAAAATTAACGTATATACTTGTGCATAGGTCGTTTTGAGGGCCAAATTCTTCAGCAAAAAAGGGAGTAGTCGACGTATACACGAGTAATAGTTTTAATTGGTTGAAATCTGTGCATGATGGGAATTGGCTAGGAGCAACTCTGAGCTTCAGACATAAAAAATATTTACCAGTTATTACCAGTAAACAATCAAGATAAAAAATATGTACCAATTAGTAATGAAAAGATGTGTAGTGCCTTTAGCAGATGAAGCTCACTAACATATAACTCACCGTATAATGTCTTTATCATATCATATATACGGTATCACAGGCAAATTCCTATACACGAGGCATATTATAAATTATTGAATTATTGGACAAAATTGGGTCGACCTATATACAAGATCGACTTATACACGAGTATATACAGTAATTCAATTCCGGTCCATGCAAGAAAATTCATTACCCGAAGAATTTCCTGCAGTGGACGTGTAGGATCCTGGTGTAGACCCCTCCTCAGGCACAGCACCGGAGGCTCCTGGCATAGAGCCTGCAGTAAAATGCTGCCGGATGTTAGGGGCGTCCTTGAGGACATTTTCCATGTCATCAAAGAACACCCATGTTTTCCGACCATTGCCGGATTTTGCATTGTGGTCAACAACACTTTTGTACTTTCTGACCAGGTTTTTCCACTTTGTTTCAACCTGCAAACCTGTCACCTGAAGGATATTTTTATATTGTAGTATTGCAATGACTCGTGTGATTGTTTCCAATGTGGTTATGTTACGTGTGTAATTGTATGATTGCAAGTTTCAACAGACAACAAATCGTATAAAATTATAGAGATATTTGAATCTAATTTTTAAAGTTTTATTCATCTTACTAAGGTAGTCATATTAAACAGTTTTTCCCTGCTTACTTTTGAGATTTTGTCTAAAAACATGCATGTAAGCTTACCACCAATATAGGTCTTAGTTCAACCGCAATTTGTTCCCAAACCCTTTTGTTTGGGGTACGTGATGAGTTGAATTTATCGAGATTTGATTCCCGAAGTCGAATCAACTCTCGTGTTGACCCCACGCTCCACACACAATCAACCTCTAGCTGACTACCTGTGGGAGCTATTCAAGAACGAATGAATCATACGAAAGGAGTTGATCCTACAGATGGGAAACTTGCCAAATACTGTTTAAATTGATAACACACTTGCTAGTGTTGTACAAACAGAAAACTATTGGCTGTATGTAACCCTTCATGATATATAAAAATATAATAATCTCTGATTTTGAACTTGAAACATTTTGTTGAAACATTTTGTTGCGTAAGACAGCAAGTAATGATTTGGTTGAAGTCAAAAAGTTTGATTTCATGTTCAGGGTAAAGAAAATTAACCTGCGCTAGTATAAAAATAATAACAGGCCTGAAGGGGGATATTGCGGATTGCCTACCCGAGGAACCAATATTCCTCAGAGAGCCAAGTCCTATCGGAGCTAGTTCCATTAGTCAGCTGAGAGAAGTATTGGTTCCAAGGGGAGACCATCTGCAATATTACCCTCCATGCCAGTCATTATTCATTTCATTATACCGAATAAACATACCAATATTAAGAGAAACAAACTATTAAATGTTAAATTAAATGATATTTAATTATTTAAAAAACATGAACATAAATCTTCGTGCACTTCCACTAGCAACTTCAGGGTACTTCGGTCTGAGCGGGTGATATTGCATCAATTATCACATGGCAATATCACATGGCTAGTTAACATTGCGAAATAACCAATGGCAGCGAGCAGGAAAATAGCATTGCGTTATATAATGAGGTACGATAATTTGGTTTATTAGTTAGTTAGTTATAAAACCATCTTAGTTCATGGTAATGAAAATTAACTGAAAAAACTTGCCACTGGAACAATAGTTATTCACTTCCAACTAGAACATAAAAGCATCTAAATGAAGAAACTGCATGCCAGTCAATTACTGAAACACGAAATGAACAATGATCCAACAATCCTAATTCAAAAACTTGTTTTTCAACATGCAACGATTAAGGAACGGATTAATGCGCACCGAAATTGTTACCTGTCTCTGACTCTCTATGATTTCTCATCATAGTTTGTGCCAGCTCGTGATCTGTTACCATAAGTATACATTTCATATAAGTACAATGACAATTACTACTAATTATGAAGCAATGCATTTTCAATAAATATATTTATATTGTACGTGTAGCCAATACTTGACAGTGATTTGACTACTGACCTCCTGCTTCAAGCCGCTCCATAGTTGGCACATCTACGGTGACGTCTATTTCCATCCCATCTTCACCACGAAGAGTAACAGTTCCCCAGGGTACTATCGGAACGTACCCTGGTACCAGAGCATATAAATCAACGTGATTTATATGGTTTTTTTTTGTCCAAGCCTCACATTTTTTTATTAATGAATTCCAGTAAGCATTATAACCATTAAAATGTAGATTGGGGGTATTTCCACTTGGAAATAAACTTTCAGCACTTTATTGCACACGGTTTTTGAGTTTTAGGCAGAAAAACATGTTTTTTTGCTACATTTTAGAATGTCCGAGATCTATGTTAGCATATTAAATGTCCCAGTTTCTCCAAGTTTTCTACATTCAAACACTCATATAGCCATATGTTCATTTAAAGTTGGTAGGAGTACAATATCCATAGCAAAAAAAAGCTATTAAATACACTAGTTTCTAAAAAAAATGAAAATATAGGTGTCCGGGCAAATCCACTCCACTCCATAACAATCAATGAAATGTCGCCCCCTATTGAAGGGACGTAGAACTAAGACATGTACCTCATGTAAAAAGTCAGTTTGTGTAACCCCCATATATGTCATGTGCTCTCAGTGTTGACACTTAGTTAATGCCTTCATCACGTAACAGAGACTTATGCTTTGAAGTAATGTCTACTAAAGGAACAATTTGGCGATTTGAAAACAGGTCGACACATATGCACTTGTACAACAACTGTAGTGCGGTAGTCTCGGCTTTTTTAATGTCTTCGTTAGCATCGTCAACATCAACTGATTCGGAGGTTTCTAGATTCCCTGAACTTCTTGTGTATCTTTTGTAACACGATGCATGGTAATGGGCTTCGGCTGCGACAATATCTCTTGATGTAATTGCCAGAATCTTTGTGTCCTCTTTTTGAATTGCAATAGATCGAATTGTTGTGTCGGCGCGTAGGTCCTTAGCTTGAATCAAGGTTTCTCGAGTTGATGTACCCTTTAGACATTTCGTGCGTTCACAAAAGATGCATATACCCGTCCTTGGCGTTCCTTGGCGTAATGATTGCCGTAATTCTGGGGAGGTTTTTTCACAAACATGAGAAACACCAGTAACCTTCTTAAGTTTGGTCAGCGCTTATTTGTGGGTGAAATCAGATCTACATTCACGATGATACCATACATCGGGTACAGCATTCGGATTAGCCATTTAAATGTTTAAGATTGGGTCAAAATTTCTGATCGTTGCAGCTTCACTGAGTGTTTGCCACGAATTGATATCCTTCAGTCTAACGAGGTCATGTGATGGTGCATCCTTCCCACATATTATACATGAAACAATGTTAATCTTCGGTCGTCTTTCCTTTGTAGGGTAGTCATCAGCCATTGTCAGAAACAATCTCTTTACAGTAACACCTGAAAGAATAGGAACTTACATTTACCCATGGAATAACCTTTGGGATAATTCCAAGTTGTCGTCAACTGTGGAGGTAGGTAGCTCTGTGATTGTCAGTTGATAACGCAGGCAAATCTAGGCATCAGAGGTCACAGTCAATGGCATTCATCATTTTCACCAGTCATCTTGCATTTATTCCAAGCAATGAACTCTTCAATACCTACCGTTTAGTTTCTTGGCATTAGAGGTCGGATTTGCTAAAGCCAAAGGTTTGGCAAGTGTCCAGCCATTAATTTGTCATCTCAGTAGCTGCAAGACCCCTCAAATCTGTCCTGAAAGAGTAGAATATTCTATTATATACTATTGTTCAGGGGAATTTTTATTGGCCTACTCTGTAGTCCATCTTCTGTAGCATTTAGTAGACCTTATATATGTCACTGGATAATTAGAGGCAATCTACATCCTATCCATTCCACCAATTGGATTTATTAGAAAAATAACGAATTTCTTTGCGCCTCTACATACATGACATAGGCCTAATGGTTTAAACAGTTGACAAGAAATCATGACATTCATCAACAATATCATGCCAATCATCAATACCAAGTATAAATAGGCCTATAAGTATAATCTCCAACATCCATGCAGTTTTGTCCACCAAAGAATGACATGTGTAAAAGATGCATTGCAGTCTGCATGATGAATCACACCCTGGGATTACACTCCACCATGCATGTAATGAACACCTAGAATATTTGGTCAACAGATACAGGAATTTCTACTTTTGAAGGTCAGAACCCCTTCAATACTTACTGTTCTGTATCCTGGGATTAGGACAGGGCACCATTAGCATCGGTCAAGGACCCAGGTTGTCCAAACAATGATTTGAGTGGTGGTGCAAATCATGCTCTCTCAAGCGTGACTGTTAATTTACTTTCAGTTTAATTTTGGTGGACCGATAGGTGGTGCCACCTATAGTGACTGATAGGTGGTGCCACCTATAGATGTGATACTAACTATAGTATCACTTAAAATCCACAGCTCAACTTAACCTATAGACTTAGAATGTTGAATCAAGACTATTCGAACAAGCCTTTACATGTTGTGTAGTATATGAGATCCAACATTAACCATACCTCAAAATGCCGAAAAATTGAAAAGTCTCATGTCGAAAAAGATGCCTGCAGATCATGTGAAGTGGCAAAATGTCAATGTAAGACATTCTATGGATACTTAATGAACCCTTCTAGATAACCAAACACAAATTTGGCAAAAATTATATTCTAACAATAATTGGTAGACAACTTTTGAAGACAGATGTGAAAAAAAGCATAAAGACAGCACTTTTTTTAGGAACAACTTTAATTTTGGAACAGATAATACCAAAAAAATAATTTAAATGTAATCAATATATCACCAGATACGGAATCTCAATACGAACATTTTAAGCGCAACTACATGTTAATACGACATTCCTGTAGTGAGTTATGCATAATTGTCTGACTCCACACATTTTGGTGAAATAATGGCGGCCATCTTTAAAGTTAACCGCCATACGGGCATTTGGCAAAGTGACCCAAAAGTCCATCAAGTGATTTTGGACACTTCATATATTAGGCTAACCAAAAATCCATGTTGGATCTGTTCACCTCTTTGGTAATGAAACCCAAATTTTTGAGGGCTGGCTTGGCTCATGGACTAATTCATCCACTCTTACGGTACGTCTAACAGGGTTCTGCCCAGGATTTTTTAGTGCCGGGCGCATCCAGCCGGAGGCGCGAAGCCAATCTAGGGGGGTCCGGGGGGCATGCATGCCAAAAAAAGTTTTGAATTTGGATAGTCTGAAACTCAATTTCCTGCATTCTGAGCACACCCGCCCACCGCCGCCCACCGTGGGCAGAACCCTGGTCTAATCCAAGTGATGTTATAGCAACCATAAAGCTATGAACTTGAAATTTGGCAGGTGCATTCCCCAATGGGTCCTGGACTACATACTAAAATTTCATTTGATTATCAATAAACTATAAGATTATTAATATATTAATTAAATTAAAATATATTTATTTAAAACCATTTTTAACTAAAAATTAAAAAAATTAAAAAATTAAGTACACAGGTTCACTGTCACTGAGCCAAAATGTTCACACTGTTAATTTCCTAGTTTTTTTCGTTGCTGGCGGCTTTATGTAGATAGCTAGTGGCAGTTCTTCATTGTTGCTGTCATTATCTTCCAGTATGTTGACAGGGAGGGGGCACGTAATGTCTTTTGTCACATCCGTACAAAACTCTAATTTTCTGGTAGAGGTAGGTCTGCCTTTTCCCGTCTAGACCAGGAGGTAGTAATTCGGCTGGTCGTTCAGTCGGGGGTAGAATCTTCACATTCTTCAGGATATTGAAGGCAACTTCTTTCGAACCAGAATACTCGCGCATGTAAACTGTGCCTGGGCTCTCGGATCCAACCCTGCAAAATATAAGAATTAAATTGTGTTAAAAAATTATACTTGTGAATTGCCTGTGAATGTCTATTTAATAGGTAAACTAATTCCTTACCAATGATCATCTGAAAAAAGGTCCTGCAATACAGATAAAAATAATTAATTTTAGCCTATACTATTGATGGAGTACATACCTAAAATGATGGAAATTTTTAATGGCAGGCAGCTTCTTGAAATAAGGGGCGAGGAATTCCTGCCAATTTCTCTGCTGCACTCGCGCCGTCTTCCAGTCCAACCTTGGCTGCTACATCGATGCCTTTTAAAGTACTCATATTTACTACATCCGCGATATCATCTAGACAAGATACAAGTGTTCGCCTGAAACGTTGCTTGACCAAGCCGAAACACCAATCCAGAGCAAATTTTGTGTGGCCAGTGATGGGAAAGTGCATTTCGATGTGGAAATTTTATCCACAAATCACTCTCCACAACAGATACCACAGCATGTAATTGTTTTTGTTCTGTCCGGAACAGTTATCACAATTCAAGTGAACGGAAACCTTACCCAAGCCATACTCGGAGAAAAAGTTATCGATGTAATTTATCACAGCATTTGAGCCTTTGCTGATACAAGCAGACTCATCGATGAGGTAGTTCACTTGCTGGAGAAATGCCTCGCAACAAACTCCAAACAAGCCACAGTTGCGCCGACACAAAAAATACATTGGCACTGGTTGCATTGGGTCGGATGGATAAGGCAGCTGCTGGGCAAAGTCAAAACTATAGTGCATGGACAGATACTTGGAACAGGGTTCACTCTGTCCAAGCCGCCAGTTTGTGTCCTCTAAGACACGTTTTGAGTCCCCAAGTCCTTGGTAGACTGATCGCTCAGTTGTGACTTGCAAAAGATGCTCTTGCTTCTTAAGTTGCTCTGATTTTTGCTCATCGTTCATATTTGCACTATTATACACTGTAGAATTATTTTTGTGACAGATCCAACACAAATCGGTCATTGGCCTATGTAAGGGTCCGCCACAGATTTCTGAACGAGTGTACCTTGACTGCACGCAAACCTACAAATATATAATAAGAAATACTAGGCTATTATGCAGTTTATAAGATCTGTGTCTATACAGTTACCGGTATTCACTAGGGCATACCTCTTCATCTGATAGCGATAAGTTTAACTACTTTAATGACTTTGTTTGGGATATTGTGAGAATGGGATCTAAATTGAATTTGTTAGTTTTGACATTTTAACTTGCCTAAAGTTTCCATAGCAACTTTGTACTTTCGCCAAACAGATGCCTTTGTCTCATGCGATGGAAGGAGCTTTATATCAAAGCGTTTATCCTGGTATCCTTCCTGACAGTACAAGTCCATGTGCCTCAGCGAAATTCACGATAAATGAAACGACTCGCTCAATATCCTCGTGACGGAGAAGTCTTGGGTTTGAAGTGCCGTTTGACTGACTTTTTAAATCAGAGTGCAAGTCCATTTTCTTTGTAATGCTTGATAATAGCCGTCAATTTGTTCTGACTAATACTGAAAATATAAAAACTATTATGCATTTATTAATAAAATAAAACTACTTTATGATTATATGACCCTACGTTGACAAAAAGATTGGACGTGAGATGTGTGTTTTAGAAAAAGTGCCACTAGACAATCTTTTGAACCTCACACATAGTAAATTTCCGACTCTGCTTGACAGATATGCGTTTCATAGAGGCACTCACGAACTAGGTTAGATTCGGGATAAAAATTGCGTGTTTTATCCTGAGCAAATGCAATGTACTCTTTGTCAAGTACGTAATAAGCACTAGCTTGGGTGCCGTTAATATATTCTGGCACTTGTAATATTTGGAATATATTAAAAATTTGGCCAACATGTTTAAGCAGTAAAAATGTTAGTACGTGAAAGGAATTTTGAACTGGTATAACTATTGTCTGCAGTAAGCTATAGTAATACAGAATGGTATCGTGTACGGGTTTGGGCATCGCGAGGTAGTCGTAGTCAGGGTTCGGAATAACCTGTTTAATCCCATGTAAAATACTTTGAAAATGTGATGGTGGAACGAGTGATATGGGTAATCTGCCGGTTAAACAACTAGTTAGAGAGTGTTCCAGATCGGCTACAATGTTGTAACATCCTGAAGGGTTAGAAGCATCATATCTATTGTAGCGTTGAAGTTACACCAAAGAGATTTTAATGAAATAATTTAGAGTAAAAAAATCAAAGACGAAGTATAAATTTTGTGTTCACTAAAAGAATATATTGTTTACAACTAATACAGGTCTCGAACGGTACGCGCTAACACCCAGAATCCAGAACTCAACTCCCGACCTCTCTTCAAATTTCTATTTCTATGCAAACTCTCCACCAATCATACTCATTTCAAAATTCTCCTCGACCAATCACACACAACTGCCTAACGCTTTGTCTACTCAAAACACCTGCCATAACCCACATGTCTAACACCAGATCTGCACCCCTGTCTAGACTAATATTCCTAAACTAACACTAAAGCTAAACGAATTTGCAGCATACTGTTTGACGACTTTCAGTAAATCTTTCTGTACAGCAGAATTTACATGTGACCACACATACTGAAGGAAATATGTATGCAAAACGCGCACATGGATCAAGGACTGGATGGTGGCGTACAACAACCAAGTCATCGGCAAGTTAGGATTCGCTCGAGTAGCTCGCCCTCTGGGCATAGGGAAGGCTTTGTGCCCAATGGGAATATGCGGATGGACTACGAGCATACAGTCGTGAGGGCGAGTCTTTGCTGCCGGCATTTGGAGATGACCAACAGCTGCAGCGGCCTGCGAATTAAATGCTGTAGTGGCCATATAGGCATCCTCTTCATCGATAAAGGTAGCTGCTGCAGCATACTAAGTTATGACTTCGTCCAGCATCTTTTGGGTCTTGTAGGCCTGCAATGTTGCAGCGATAGCACCTTCCTCAAAGACTGGCTATTGCACGGCATACTGCAGTATGTCTGGACGATGATGCAGTGTTAGGCCACTGGACAAACAAATGTCATGTGTCATGTTGAACTTTTTTGCAAGTGTGCACAGGCGCAGAGTTGACAACCCACCACTGCTGCCTTCCTGCTCGAAGACTGGAAAAGAAGTATTATACCGGTTGGATCTGCCAGCTTTAACGAGACAGGCACTCACAACAGCTGGAGCTAGATAATCTGGGGCTTGAGGGGCGCTGCTTCCAAGCAAAGGATGTTCAGGAACATGTAGGAAAGGAGTCCTGCCATCACAGTGATTCTTCTGCAAACACATGATGAGAGATAGTCCAGAGTTTTTTATCCACTATGAGGGATGGAGCAACAACCCAATCCAAATCAACGATAGGGATTGTCCAGTCTGGTCTCAACCCAGGAAATACTTGGGAGTAGCGTTAAATGCCTGATAGCTTGGGACGATTGTTGCCAAATAATGTGCAATAGACAGATGTTGTACCTTTGAATCAACCCTATCGTCCATGTACAGGTAACAACCCATGGGGCAGCGCACCTCCGGGAGGCAGGCATTATCAGGAGCACGCATAAGTCGTCGAAGCTCGCCGCTATCCAAGTCTTCTTTAAATGTGCGCATTTTTCTGGTTGTGTCAGAAAATTGTGGTTGAATGCACAGAGCTTGCCGCATAGCTGGCAGCCATTGACCTACAGCATGCATCCAGGAAGTGCGCAGGTCATCAGCCAGAAACTGCATAAACGTGAAAGGATCAGCATACTGCTGTTTGGTGAGGCATGTCCAGATGACTGCAGGCCAGGCATGTTTCCAGGCAGGTGATTTGGCATGTTGTTTGGTACGTGCACAGACATAGTGGGAACATAATTCACAAACAAGTTGACCTTCCATCATGCCTTCACGGTCTCCAAATTGGCGCAGAATCAGTCCATGATTGTAGGCGTCAGCAGCCACCAGGTGTAATAAAGCCACAGGATGCGCATGTGTTGTGCAGCGATGACAAATGGCGCAACTTGCCAAGACTTCTATTTCAGAGTCTTGCTCAACAGCCTAAAACACAAAAGAGAAAGAAATTGGCCAGATGTACACATACTGTAGGAATGGTAATTTGTAGAGGTCTCATAACATGACATTACATTACCATCGGTTGATGTATAGTAAATTTCCTTGTACCATTAGTGTAGTACATATACACAACGCCACAAGTCAAGGACCACCAAATGTTATTTTGTATAAAAGCTACAAAGCCACGTGATGAAACCAGTAAAACTGACTTGCGAAATTTATTTATTGACGTATTTTGAAAAATATTTTTTACAATAATAGCTGGAGGCCCGTCCATAAAAAAGTCTTCTTTACCTCATCTATTTTTTGAAATAATAAAATTCACAACAAGTCAAAGTTGGTAAGCATGAAATTTTTTTGGCGTTTTATGAGGATAGGTGTTTTCCAATTTGAAACTAGAACTATCACTGACGTGATTCATACCCCCACGAATCACCTTGTTATCATGGTGGTCAATGTTGATCAGATGCAAGCTTAACTCGTTAACATGCATGATATCAGCTGATTGTTGCATATGGTTTATATAGTCATGAAAGGTGTTAAAATCCCAGGTTGTATCAAAATGGGAGCAGAAATAACCGAGTTATAGCACTAGCCATTTCAACCAATCAGATGCAAGCTGAACTCATTAATATGCATGAAATCAGCCGATTGTTGCATATGGTTTATATGGTCATGAAAGGTGTTGAAATCCCAGGTTGTATCAAAATAGGAGCAGAAATAACCGAGTTATAGCACTAGCCATTTCAACCAATCGGATGCAAGCTCAACTCAATAATATGCGTAGAATCAGCTGATTGTCGCATATAGTTTATATATTCATGAAAGGTGTTCAAATCTAAGTTTTATCAAAAGCGAACCAAAAAATAACCGAGTTACAGAACTAGACATAGACGGGACGCAACGGGACAAGGTGATTGCTATATAACCCTTAACTAGTTAGGTGGGGGTATAAATAGAGGCCCAGGAGCAAGATAGAGACAATCAGGTTGCAAATTGTTTTAGCCAAAGGTCACAAAAAGATAATTTTGAAATGTCTTTCCTCATTATAACTTCACCATTTTTTAAGACACTGCTTCCATTCTTAAACCATGATGATCCTTGTTTCAATATGTCAAACTTAGGTCACATAAACATTTTTGCTAAATCGCTTCGTTTTCCGTCAGGGACCATTAAAAAAAAAACAGTATATCCAACATAATGCATTAAGATGCATAGGGGTATATCATGATAAACTTCGGAAATGCAAGGTGATATTGACATTCTGTTTCTTGCATGTGTCCCAGGGTACCTATCTACAAGATGTGAATGGTAGTTTGAATGGAATAAGATTGATGTAGACACAATAGACTGCTTCATATGTAAAAATATGACAAAAATCACGATTCTTGTAGTTTTTACTGTGTTATTATCTTGGGCATTAGGTTATATATCACTTCCATTCTGATTTCGCCGTATTGTTTAGAAGTAGCCTACCAATATTTGTGATCCAATAAACTTTTTGCTAAACCTTTGTTTTGTGATAGGGGTTGTCTCAAAATACCTAATACGCAAGGTATGAAATTACTAGATTGGTGGCTGTAACAAGCCTAAAAGTAAAATTTCGGAAGTATCAGTATTAGTTGAAAGTATCTAAGATTAGTATCGGTAGAAGTCTGGAAAGGCAAGCTGTAGAAATATTTCCAGTCATCACTATTCAGCACGATGTTTAATTCCTTACACCATTTTTCTTGACTACCAACATTTTTTATATTTAGATTTTTATTAAATAGGTTGTAAAATTGTTTACAGCCTTTTGATGCAATATACAGAATAGACTGCAGGTGATATTGATGGACCGATGTTGAGAAGAATGGAATTTGTAATTTGCTCCAACCAATCCTGTGGAATTGCTTTGTGCAACCCTATTACATCGATAAAGGTGGCTTTTATATTATATTTTGCCTTTAATTGACCTAATGGCATGCGATCACCGTTATCATTAAAGAGATTTTTAACAAATATACCTTTTCTGTGCCAGGATTCTATATAGCCTAGTTTGATATGCTTGTTGAACCAAATTGGTTCCTTTAGAATTTCTTTACTATTTTGTGGCTTGAGAATGCCATTATATTCTGATCAGGCCATTGTAACATCCTTCCAAAATGGGTTTTTGATAGTTTATTGCAGCCTAAAAATTACTTTTTTTTACAAGAGCTCTTTTGATTTTGTATTAAAAAAGAGCTCTCGTAATTTTTTTTACAGGAGCTATTTTAGGCTGGGCCAGAGCTACTTTTTCATAGCATGATTTTGTTGAGATTTTCATAATTTTGATGCACTGAGCTCTAATAACATTCATCAGCATTCAGCACTCAGCACCAGTATCAGACTATCAGTGTTAAAAAATCGTCAACAAATTACCTCCGATCACATTTTTTTCATCTCATTTCACTCTAAGAACCTAGACTAAGAAACCAATCGCACTCTTATTCAATTTCATTCACACAGACAGACATGCACTACACAGTACACATAGTCAGGTAACATGACAAAGACAGGAAATCAAGAATTATAATCATGGTAATGATGGTATGGTTATTTTCAAGTTTCTTTTTTTTTACTTCAATTCTTTTCATTATTCAACTTTTTTTTTACATCGACTGAGCAAGTTCAAAACTTGAGTTATGAAGTTAAGCTAGTTACTTTGAGTATGTTAAAAAAACGTGTACTGGAATCTCTAGGAATGTCGGGGGAGCTTCTGGGCAAGGTTTTACTTTCGTTTTTCTCCTCCCCAATCCACGGTACCCCCTAACCCGACCAGGCGGAGTGACTAACGTCAATATACACAGGGTCTTCTAGGGACACTAGGGTCTTCTAACCCTTGCAAAGACCGTTTCTTGGAGCTAGGTACCCCCATGCATAGATCAATGCTGCCGCACATCCGCAAAGTTACAAGTGCCTAGAATCTTTAAGTATATACAGTACTCGTATTTACATTGCTTCTAGATATCGAACTGAATGAAAATAGTCCACTTTCTACGTTAAGAAAAGTGACGAATTCAGTTAACAGCTTTGATTACGTGCGTGTCAGGTGTCACTGGTCGTGCCCTCACTCCCCACAATAATTAAGGCCTGCGATATAAAAACTTATTGTTATGCGGTCATAAAAACACTGGGCTGCACTACAATCATGCCGGCGATGCCGCAATCGATTTCTTAGACTGTCGTGATTTTTAGTTCATGCAGCTCTTGTTGTTTTTGGATACCCCATCTACGTTGAGGAACGGGTCGTATTATGCGCTCCCGTTTAGAAGTCTGTTTAAACTGCCGTTGCGCTAGCCGTAGTATTTCAGTGTGATATGAGGGTAAAAGTGCCAGTGAGGAGGACCGGGAGTTTCGTAGAGATGGTGGCCCGAGCAAAAACTTTGTGGGCTCGGGTCCCGGGTCGGAACTAATTTCGAACGCTGCTGGCGACACGGGAGCGATTTTTTCTTGTATCTTCCAAAATTTTCGCTGTCGTAATTGTTGTTACCAGAGCACTTTGAAAGCTGACGGTAACGAAATCGCTCGCCGCTCCCGTGTATTTTTTTCGCTGGTTTATTGTTTCTATTTGGTTAGCACCTGTTTCAAAAAAAGAGTCAGGCATTTTGTTTTTAAAGAAAAATGCCCATTTATCTGATTTTGTTACTTTTTAATCCATGATATCTTTAGACCCTTGATATAACTTTTTAAGTCTATCATTTTTAGACCACCTTCACAGTACTCCTTTTTTAATATACTTTTTTTTACTTTGCCTTGGGGTTTGTTCCAAATAAATTGAAAGAATAAGTCTTCAAACTCTTTTATTAAGGTTAGGTCCAAATCATGGAGTACAGTAAGCAAATGAGTAACATTAGGAAGTGCTAGAGATTTAATAATAGTTATTTTACCCAAAGGGGTCAGGTTTCTGGATTTCCAGATATTTAGCAATTTTTTGATGGAGTTAAGTTTTGGTATTAAGTTTTCCGTGATCATTTTATGTTGATCTGTATTGAAAGATACACCTAGAGCTGTTAACCTGCCATCCACAATCCACTCTGGACAGTTTTCCCTACAAAAGCGCTTATGAGAAACCAATCCACAATATCTTCGTTTTTTCTTTATTCATTTTTAACCCAGATAGTTGATAAAACAATTCCATGATGTTATATGCTGCAGTTATAGATTGTTCACTTCCGCCCAGGAACAAGTAGGTATCATCAGCATATAGAGAAATTTTATATTCTTCGCCCCATAAGTCTATATCTTTAAGCTGGGTATTTTGTCTAACTGCTGAAGCTAAAATTTCAGCACAGAGAATAAATATATATGAGGATATTTGATCACCCTGTCTACAGCCTTTCTAGATTAAATCTTGTAGAAAAATTACCATTGGAGATAACACTAAATTCTGAATCATTTTGCAACAATTTGATCCATTTTCTGATTGATTCACCAAAATTAAAGATATCTAAATCTATCATCATAATCATTCCCGGAATACGTTGAGCTTTTGTTTAAAAAATAATGTCATATATTACTCTAGTATTCTCCCCTATGAACCACCCCTTTTTGGTCTTCATGTATCTAGTTGGGTAGATGTTTTTTAATCCTCTCTGCTATACAGGAAGCTGCAAATTTGTAGGATGTGTTAAGGAGGGTAATGGGTCTCCAGTTTTTTAAATAACACCTTGGTTTGCCAGTTTTGGGGAGGCAAGTTATTATTCCTTGTCTTTGGGATATAGACAATTGGTCCATTGAGTAGCCATAATTGATAGAACGGAGTAAAAAATTGACCCAGGTCGATCCAGAAAAAATTTATTTGTGTAACCGTCATTTCCTGGACTTTTATTATTTTAACTCTTTTTGAAGACAGCTAATAGTTCATAATAAGTAGTTGGGCCTTCACTCCTTCTAGATTCTTCCCCGGATAATTTGTTGAATTTTTTTATATCCAAGGCCCTGATATATCTGGCCCTTGATCTTATGATCATACCATCGATCATGCCATCGAAGGCAGTGAGGCAATCCAAGTGATATTTAAATTCCTGGGCTATCACATCACTGCTGCATAATTTGCCGAGTAGAACTGTATCATGCATTGCTGTTGCAATATCTTTCAAGTTCTGATCAAATTGGAACGTCGAGCAACCAAAGATATGAAACAAAGTAGACGCACTCGTTTTCGAAAGCGGCCATTTTGAAAAATCCAATATGGCCGCCACCGAAAGTTGATAGCTGCGGGCACCCCTTCTAAAATTGATCACTATGACCTACCCTAACCACAAAAAAAGTTTGGCGCTTGTCATGTATGTTGTACTAAACCACTTACACATTGAAGAATAAGACTTATATCTTTAGAAATCGATATATTGCATCTAATAATAATATTTTTCAATCGTGTTGAAACAACAACGATCATTAAAACAGACCACGATTGAAAAAACTGTCATGTATGTTGTACTAAACCACTTACACATTGAAGAATAAGACTTATATCTTTAGAAATCGATATATTGCATCTAATAATAATATTTTTCAATTGTGTTGAAACAACGAAACATACATAAAACAAGAGGTGCCTATCTCGGCTCAGCTTACGTAATAAAGGGCCACTCTATTCTTAGCGGGTAATATCCCGGGGGTAATCTGGTATTATTAAAATAATAACCGATTATCATGACATCGCTTTTGTCCGCCGTGTAAATATTTTGACCCTAAGGCCCCTAGCTAATTGAAAGATACACCTAGAGCTGTTAACCTGCCATCCACAATCCACTCTGGACAGTTTTCCCTACAAAAGCGCTTATGAGAAACCAATCCACAATATCTTCGTTTTTTCTTTATTCATTTTTAACCCAGATAGTTGATAAAACAATTCCATGATGTTATATGCTGCAGTTATAGATTGTTCACTTCCGCCCAGGAACAAGTAGGTATCATCAGCATATAGAGAAATTTTATATTCTTCGCCCCATAAGTCTATATCTTTAAGCTGGGTATTTTGTCTAACTGCTGAAGCTAAAATTTCAGCACAGAGAATAAATATATATGAGGATATTTGATCACCCTGTCTACAGCCTTTCTAGATTAAATCTTGTAGAAAAATTACCATTGGAGATAACACTAAATTCTGAATCATTTTGCAACAATTTGATCCATTTTCTGATTGATTCACCAAAATTAAAGATATCTAAATCTATCATCATAATCATTCCCGGAATACGTTGAGCTTTTGTTTAAAAAATAATGTCATATATTACTCTAGTATTCTCCCCTATGAACCACCCCTTTTTGGTCTTCATGTATCTAGTTGGGTAGATGTTTTTTAATCCTTTCTGCTATACAGGAAGCTGCAAATTTGTAGGATGTGTTAAGGAGGGTAATGGGTCTCCAGTTTTTTAAATAACACCTTGGTTTGCCAGTTTTGGGGAGGCAAGTTATTATTCCTTGTCTTTGGGATATAGACAATTGGTCCATTGAGTAGCCATAATTGATAGAACGGAGTAAAAAATTGACCCAGGTCGATCCAGAAAAAATTTATTTGTGTAACCGTCATTTCCTGGACTTTTATTATTTTAACTCTTTTTGAAGACAGCTAATAGTTCATAATAAGTAGTTGGGCCTTCACTCCTTCTAGATTCTTCCCCGGATAATTTGTTGAATTTATTTATATCCAAGGCCCTGATATATCTGGCCCTTGATCTTATGATCATACCATCGATCTTTTGTTTACGGAGAATTTCAAGATCATTATTTAATACTTCCAGTTTTCTAACATTTTCTAGAAAAGTATTCGTGTTTTCTTTTATGTTGTTTTCTATATCTTGCATTTTTTTGTTTAGATTTAATTCAACTTCTGTTGCCTTTTACTTTTTACTGGAAGCAAAATTTATTATTTCCCCCCTGAGGGTGAACAGTAAGGTTTCCCAAAATAATTGATCATTTATTTTAAAATGTATTTCACTGTTAGGCCAATTCACAGCATTATCGTTATTATGTGGGGCAGCTGCTTATTGGTTTTTAATATCCAGTATTGATTCCTTAATCATTTTAACAAAATCTACATCACTCAATAAAGAATTATTAAATTTCCAATAGCCATGGCCTTTTTTGTGTTTGGATATTAATATGTCAATAGCAACAGGGGAATGATCTGATTTATACTTTGTTAAAATTTCAGAATTTGAGATAACTGACATAACATCTTCAGATTTACAGGTTTC